ATATGCTGGAACCCGCTATGTATCTTTGTTTGTAAGATTTATTTTGGACGTTTTGCAACCCAATAAGGATATGGCAATTCAAATTCATTTTTGGTCTTCTGGATATTAAAAATATTTAAAACTTACATATGAATTTGAACAATTTCTTCCTTAGAAAATAAAATATGAGTAGAAGTTTGATTACCACCTGTAGAATGAAATCCAAGTTAGTACAATTTACATAACAAGCCTTAGAAACGAAGACAATGATTTTGCAGAATTTCTACCTCAGAATGAGTGCAAGCTGGATTACTACTTGTAAAATTAAATCAATGTTCTTTAAAATACAATTTTATATAACGAGCATTAGAAACGTAGACAGTGTTCTACCTGCTTTGTCAGCAGGACCAGTAAGTATTGATTATGTAATCTATCTCATTCTTTCCCACTTCTGGATTATTGAATACAGATGGATAGATGGGATGCAGATGTTGGTATCCAAAGAAATGTATTTTCATATAAAATCATGTGTGAAATATAAACGCCTTAGTGTTAACTGTTCAAAAGTTACGAGGGCAGTTCAATAAATAATGTCCTCTGTGCTCAGAAAGAAGCCAAAAACGCTTTCCAATGATTTAGTCTTCATGATTTTACTTATTAATCTCTTTTAATTAAAACACATGTCTGTAACAATTTTTATCTAATTTCTGATTCTCTTTAGAACTCATTTTGGGTATGACCTTAGTGTACTGGAAAATGGCAAATCCAATGATTTCCTGGACTTGTTTCTTCCTTCTGTAAGGTGTTTTTTTTCAAGTTTGGAAATAGAAACAAGTCAAAAGGTCAAAGATCTGGCGAATATTGTTAATGTGAACAAACATTAACTTTCTATTTATCCCGAAAACCCCTTTACTCTTCAGGGCGGGCGGGATTGGACGCTGTCATGAAGACATTCAATGTAGTGGATTCCTGATTTTGGGTCCTTTCTCTAATAAACTTTTCGATTTTTTTTTTTGCCAAAAATTGCTTTCTAGACTTCTCCAGAAATTAAATTGTCTTCCCAAATACGAATTTGAACTACAATTCCACTAATATTTAAGAAAATTGCATATAAATATGTCTTTTTGCTCTTGCATACCTTTGCTCTTGTCAGACCTTCACCGTTTTTATCAAGTACATCTTATTGTAAATTTAGCTTTTAGGGTTGTAAGCAATAGATTCATGTTGCAATATCTGTTTGAATATAAAACAAATTGGATAACTACAATTACTGATATTTTAAAATAATTGTTAAGAGTTTCGTACACGCTGTCGTTTTCATTCATTTTTCAAAATATAGGGTGATTCTTGAGTACCAAGCTTTTTTACCGTCAAACGTTTCTTAAAAACAGTGTAAACTACTCCCGATATGATGTCTATCAAATCTGCTATGTGTCTTATTGAAGGATATGGAGATAACAAACAGTATTCAATTTCAAAGTGAAACATACATCATCAATTATCATTTGTTGAAATTTGGCGAACAGTGCATACGTTATTATAATTTTTGTGGCAAGGACGGTACCAATTTTTGATTGCTATTATATAATTTTTTATCATTGAAATCCACCTGCTCATTTGTGTATAAAACAGGCATTGGTTGCTGTAAATGTCACATATTTCAGTGAATATTTCTTTCGGATTTTTAACAAGTTTTACAGCAGCTAAAATGAAGCTTTTATTTTCACTCTAGTTTACTGATTCTTTGCCATTCATTTATAATGCTGTGTCTCAAATAGCCCTTGTTTTCCAACTTCTCACGATGAAACTATGTGATGAAAAGTGGTCACTAAAACTGTTATAAATTCATTAAAGATTTAATAACGAGAGAAAGTCAAGTTTAATGTTATATGATATCTGTATTTTTTGTCAAACAGTTCAGGACATAATTGATTGAACATGTATGGCCAAGGTCTTTTTGAAACTGTGTCAAAATCTAAGGCTAAAGTCAAAAGGTCCAACATACAGTTAATATATATTTATATACCCGCTGAAAGTCTTGTCACAACGAATATACGTGTGATGATTGAAAGATGTTTGAATGTTAGTACATTGAAAATGGTCCATGTCTATTTAAATTTATTTTTTGTAAAACAAGGAAGGAAATGGTAAAAACGTAAACTGATCCTATTTTCTTTCTAAATACCTGTATCTACTTCCTGTTATATTTGTTTAACATTAGCAATAAATAAAAGTAACATATGCATGCAAAATAAAGAAACTGACATATTATTTATTGTCGGAAAAGATTTATGGTGCTTAAAGCTAGAACTTGAATCTTTCCTTTTAGTATAGGAAGAAGTGTGTTTCTGAAACTCTGTACATATCAGATAACATTTGTTTACATACAGTATAGGGCTGTCATAGCTAAGGTAAAGTCATAACTTTATTTCGACTTTTTCTCATTTTGGCATTTATCTTTTTATCCATGATTTCTGAATTTATCAATGCTTGATTTTAATATGTTTAAAATATTAATGGTCAAGGGTCAGTCTTTTCAATTAAAGGTTTATGTTGTTGAAGTTTGTTATGCTCGATTGTTAAACGATGACAAATTTTAATTGTTATACATGTATTTTCTGTTATAATTGTTTTCGAAAAGCGAAACTAAATTATGCTTCTTAGATCTATTTTTATGATTGTGAATATAAAATTTTTTGCTCAATTAAGGAACAAACCTGATTGTAATGATCGTCTACCTGACAAAAGATTGTCTCATATATCGGACACACTTAATATAAACTCAGTTAAACCCACAAAACCGTATGAAAGGTATTAAAAAATAAAATGATACGTCTTAAATAAGGTATTGACACACAATATTAAGAACAACTTAATTTCATAAACATTATTCGTAAAAATATAACTTATCAAACTACAGAGACGGCAAAGTACAATGCTTGCACAGATAAGGCAGAGAATAGAATCCCCCGCTGAGTTTCGGTCAAATCCTGGCTTAAAATGAATGAAACATGTGGATTTTTGTAATTTTAGAGACAGATTTTATTTTTTAAAATGCATGAATTTTATTATTGCATTCGAATATTGTAATGAAGTTTTTCCATGTAGATCACAGCAATATTAACAACATAATTGTGATATCGATTTATTATTTTATACATGCCATGAATTTAAATTCAACAAAGTAATAGCTTTATCTTAACAATGAAGAAATGGGTTCTGATTAATAGATAAATTACGACGGGTGATTAAAATGTTTTCTAACTAATTTAGGCATGCACTTTCGTAGAAAAAAAATAAAACAGGGCTTTAAGGTATTTATTGTAAAATGAAGGGATTTTGAACGATCTCGAATCGTGTTAAACTAGTAAGAAATACAAATTTGCTAGATCAAGACGAAAGTGAAATGAACCCAATTCACATGACCGATAACAAATAAAAAATAGGTCATTTTGCACCTGATTTTTTTTTATATTTTAGGAAAGACTTGCCCTTGATGAAAAGAACCTTTTAATTGTGTTAAAATATCTGGGTTCAATTATTCATTATTTCATATTATAATAAAAAAAATATTTTTTTACATTTTCATAAAGAAATTATATGAAATTCAAATTACTTTTTAACTATCTCTAAATAAAACATACGCTGCCCATGGACGTCAACGTAAAATTTATGGTGCAATAAATTTGACAAATATAAAATTTTGTAAATTCCTTTGGTGGCGTATGTTTATTTCATTCCACCTTTACAATGCTACAAAGATTAATCATTTTACACCATTTATTTATTAAGTACAAAAAAGTTTTAAATTGATAACCCTAAGAGGAAACTTAGTTATCGTTATTTCAAAAGGACTTCCATTACAATTGAAAATAATCTCTGGAGTTATAATGGATTATCCTGGTATCATTTAATTAGTCACAGTATTTGTATTTCAAAACATTAATGTGGTTATCTGATTTGAGTGATTTACAAATTTTATTGTGTAATTTTATGCCACACAAATATAAATCTGTCATTTAAAGGATTAATTGTGTGAATTTGTTTTATGAAGACGTGATACTAAAGAAATGTCAATGTTTTTTTTTTTCTCTCATATAATTACTTACCAAAAATTAGTTTATAACATACATGCCTTGTTTTTAATTTTGATTTTCTGATTTAATTTGCTATTTATTTTTATATTCATTATGGGTATATTTCCTCCTTTAAAATTTCCAATATACAAGGAATTTTTAGCCACATTCCTCGTACGATCTTTTCTTTTTGAATAAAGAGGTTCTTTTTCGTTTTATTTCAACTTAAACTATAGGCCTATAAGAAACTGTTGACATAAAAAATAACATTTATATCCATATTTCTATTCGAAATAAGAGGAAGAAAAAATGGCTTTTCACAGCTGGTTTTTGCTAAACCTTACGTATTCGAATGACAAAAAAAACTCTAAATAGCTGAAAATGTATTTTATTAAAACCAATATATGACCAACAAAAAAAAGAACTACATTAACGTACGAGTATTACTCAAACTTACATATCAATGATTTTGCTGTGCTTAAAAATCATATTTATACGAACAATAAACTTGTTAAAGTATACATTATACGATTAAAACAATTTTTACTAGTCACGTGATACTTATACAAGTATGACTAATTACATGACAAAAGTAGCCCGGTCAATAATTACTAGTTTAAATATTAATTTTAAAACAATGTACATGTTAAAAAGAAAATGGTGATAACAAAAGGGCCAAAAAGCAAGTAGCATGTTATCCTGAGTATATGAAGTATATGAGTTGATTCCTTTCTTCTCGGGATAAGCTTAAAAATTAGAATGATTTAATAGTCCTGAACAAGTTTGATAATTATCAAAATCTCATTCGTATATACATGTATAAAGAACTCTCTATCTCTTCCATGTCTTTTTTAAAATCAAAAATAGAGAGAAGGTTGCAACCCCTATTCCCTTTTAACTTTTTCACTGTTATTATATAAAAAGAAAAAACTCTAATAATTTCAGATGGCTTTCCCTAAAATGGATATTCCAAGAATGGCCAAACATATTTTAGAGTGTGACACTAAAAATTGTGAGGGAAATTGTGAATTTTATTGCAATCCTTGTCATCAAAAATGTTGTAAACAATGCAGAGATGAGCATCTGAAAAGTCCAGAAAACAAGAACCATGAGGTGGTTCTTTACCAACAACGTAAACGACAATTTCCTGTAGAGAAATGCAAGATCCACCCCACTAAAGAATTGGACATGTTCTGTGATGAATGTCAAATTCCAGTATGTTCCAAATGTGCAACAGAAGTAGAACATCGGGGACATATATTTACCGACTCAGAATCAAATTATACTAGAATCTGTCGAGATGAAGAATTCCATGTCTACGATTCCCTTTACGAATATATTCCATCAGAATATCAGACGGTATGTATTTGGCATTTATTAATCTATAATTAAGTAATTTGGTGGCACAAAAAGAAAGGTTTTTCAACAAGGAACACACCTGTGAAATATGAAAGCCGTAGCCTTACCCACTAAAAATTTATGGACAATCTAGGTAAAAGATTTTGCGGACTAACAAATAAACAGCTAGACGGACGCACAGGGAAAAACTATATACCCCCGAATCTTCCATTTAATACTAATAAACTTTATCAAATATTAAAACCAATAAATATTTGGAGTAGAACAAGCACGTATATCAAACACAAGAGACGCATAGCAAGCTTTTGTGTATTGCATACTTCCAATTTCATAGTTCTAAATGTCTTACGAACACATGACAAGAAGTACTTTTTCCTGTCATGAATGAGCTCTGAAGTCTTTCCACTGGATATCTTCTTTTGGTACATGTACTTATGGCTCATAAAATCTGTTCTAGACATTTCAGATTATCTCATGTTTTTAAGACATTAAAATGAAATTGGAAGTAATCTGAATACTACATATGAATTAAGCACAAAAGTGTTTTCTTGGTACAGCGATGAGAGTAAAGTTATATTGAATAATATAAATGGTTTCTTTACATTTAAAAATGTTTTTAAAATGAAATAATGAGTATTGAGTTAAATATTTTTACCAGATCAATGTCCAGGAAGATGTTACAAAATGTGCAATGGCTCGAGAAGAAGCACTAGAACCCACTAATCTTAAGAGTTTTGTGCTGAGACCAGCGCCTCAAGGTCATGTAATGGAGTGTAAGATCATACGAGACAAGAAAGCTAATGGTAGATCTTCTCCAACATACTTTCTTCTTTTAGAAAAAGCTGATGGCAAAGAGGTTAGATATATCATACTAATTAAATCTTCCTAGCTGTTATATTTAAAAATAGTCTGATTGTCTTGAGTAACTTATTATACGAGTATATAATGTATTCTTAGGTAAACAATTTTACGAAAGTTAAATGAGGCTAAGTATAGACCTTTCTATAGAAATGATCAAAGTTTACCTTATAAGGTCTGTACCTTGTATACAGAAAAGCGTTAAACTTATTTTTTAGACAAACAATACCTACAAGTGATAGTTTATTATGACGTAACATTATAATGCCATTGTTCTCTACTACAGAAAGTTATAAAGAACACCAAGAGACAAGTTTCGGTGCAAGGATATGTCGTATCTCAAGAGAAACGCGGTGTAATTAAAAGCAGAATATTTCAAAGATAGATAATGATGCACTAATCAGACTGCTAATATTGAAAGTTTTATTGTCTATATTTACTATTCGTAAAGTTTTGTGTTAACAGGATAAAAATTAAAAGTCATGTGTACGTTTTCTCCTATTCTTATCAAATAAGGAAGAGCATAGGACTTGTGCAGAACTTTTATTAATTTTAAGAATTTTCACCTTTTTCTATACATAATTAAAGTCGAATAAACAAAAAATGCCCTTGCATCGAAGTTTTTTCTTAAATATCTTGTATAACTTTGCGTAGGAAAAAATGGAGTCATACTTTGACCCGCCAGTGAACGACTTTAAACTTATTCCTAAGAAGTTAGATCAATTGAGCAGTTAGGGATCTTTTTCTGTGTCAGCATCTTCTTCGACATGGGACCTCGGTTTATACGATCTCATCCGAAGAACCGTTAACCACGCCCACTTTGGAATTGATCTTACGACAAAAGGATCAGCTCTTTGTTCCGCGACTCTAGAGCAGATGCTCTAACACCTGCACCACGCAGGCAAAACATATTGAGTGGGGTTTTTTTATGTTGACAAAAAAGTATTTCCAACCACAGGAAAGTTTTTGAGTAGAAACAACTACCACAGTTGTTTTTAAGTAGAATTCGGTGAGATCAACAATTCAAATCATTGTTAACCAAGTAATGTTTAACGTCATAGCGCGAAAGTGGCGAGCTTTATCATTGCCAACTTGTATGTATGGAGGAGATTTGAATTGTTGCAATAAATAAACTAGAGGTATTTTGAGCTCACTTAATAATATCCCCCACCTCCCATATGAATATAATGGCAGTGCCCATGTTTTTATCTGAAAAATCCAAAATATATGTCAAAGTAAAATAGGAGGTGCACAATGGTAATATGTAATCAAGATTCTGTGAAACAGACGGACGGGCGGACGGACAGACGGACGGACATACCTATTACTAAATACCCTACCGCTTTTCAAGCGGGGGTATAATAATTTATGTCTGTGTCAATGTTATTTGCCCTTACGGGCCTCAAGCAGTCTGATAAGTTTTCATATAGAACAGCATTCGGTTTCTATTCATTTCTTAAACCACTTGATTAGTATCGATCAAAGAGTTGCAAAATTTACGGATTTGAAGTTTACTAAATTAATATAGGTTTGGATGATCACAGTTTTATCAAAGGGATTTCCTTTGTGCATACCCGGTATTAAAATGTAGATACGTTTAAAAATAAAGGTATTTTTAGGTGTTTTTACTGGCTGGTAGGAAAAGGAAGAAGAGTAAAACTTCAAACTACTTGATCTCAACCGACCCTACAGATCTGTCAAGGGGAGGCGAGGCCTACGTAGGAAAACTCAGGTACATGTTACACTTACCTCCCTTGTCAAAAACTTACAAATGTTTGATATACTATTGAGTATATAGCAAACACTTTTTATCTGCAGGAACTTATTTTTCGCTTAATTATATTCCTGTGAAAATGTCCTGTTTGAGAACATTTTTGTCTTTCAAAGACAAGAATTGATGAACTAGAGCAATATTCCAGGAAAAACTGTCTAAAAATCTCAGGGATTCCCGAACCTAGAGAAGGGCAACAAGAAGACACTGACCAGATCGCACTGAATGTTATCAATAGATACATATTAGAAGGTACTGGGCATCGACCTCTGACCGAGTTCTCAATCTCAAATTCACATCGCCTAGGTCCGAGACCACGACCAGGAACTAAAACTCCACCTCGAAACATAATTGTGAAATTTGTGAGGTATAGAGATCGTGCAAATGTCTATAATAATAAAAGAAACTTGAAACCTTTTAATGAAAACCCCTCCAACACTTATAAAATATTTGTCAATGAAGCCCTCACAAGCAGAAGAGCAGAACTATATACAAAAATTCGAAAACTTCGCCAAGAGAGGGTCTTCCACTCCTGCTGGACAAATGAAGGAAAAATCTTTGTTAAAAAAACTGAAAAGGGCAAAGTATTCAACATTAAGAACGAAAATGACATTGCCAAGGTTGTAAGCTTTATTCCATCTGCCAACACTTATGACCTACCTGAGGACACGTACGAAGAGTTTAATACTAGAATGTGAACATTTAGTAAGAACAGCTGTTTAAAACAGCTGATAATCATGGTCAGTAAGACGTTTGGCCAGCAATCTCCTTATCTGTTGTATGTATCCATGGTATCATCATAATCTTCATACAACTATATTCAATTACTCTATATAAGCTGTTAGCCTTAAAACCAGCAATTGTTCTTCTTTTATAATGGTACAACTGTTTTGTATTTGTATATATGTTACTTTTTGTATTCTTGTTTATTTTTTGCTTTTTCTCAATCCGGATCCCGGATTTCAGTATCAATACCGGTTTGTCATTTACTGTGCTTTTATTTTTTTTCCGATTCAAAACTAGCATGTGCAGTGCAGTGTAGGAATGTCCGAGGCCAGTTGTTTTCTTGTTCCGCATTATTTCATATTTGATAGTTGTGATTAAGTGCATTTGTCTACTTAGATGGCCAAGGACATTGAGTTTTATTAGGTATGTACTGATCTGCTTACGTATATTATTATTAACGAAGAGTACTTACTTTTTATTACTTGTTATATACTTTTTGCTTATCATATCTGGCGTGGAAACAAATCCTGGACCACCAAATCTATTCAAACAAAATTTGCGTATAGCACATAATAATGTGTGTAGTCTACTTTCAAAAATAGATGTTGTATCAGCTGAACTTTCTGAGTATGACATTATAGCTATATCTGAAACACATTTAGATAACTCAATCAGTGATGAAGATATATTAATTACTGGGTATCATACCCCCCTGCGTAAAGATAGAAATCGTTTCGGAGGTGGCATTGCTTTATACATTTCTAAAAGTATACATTTTTCAGAAAGAAAAGACCTAGACTCTAGTAATATGGAGATTCTCTGGTCTGAAGTAGTAGTAAATAATAATAAATTACTTGTGGGTGTTATTTATAGACCCCCTAACTCAAAGGCAGAATATTGGGATCATTTTCTATATAATCTACAGCAAGCTTTAGATCTTAATATTCCAATTCTATTATTAGGTGATTTTAATATCAATATGCTGTCCAACCAAAGTAGACAATTTAAACTCTTATTACAACGACTCAACCTTACAAATCTCATAGATAGTGCTACCAACTTTACTGTGAGCACTGGGACGTGTATTGATTTAATATTAACTAATAATACAGTATAATTTGTCCAATCCGGCTACCGCCGGTTCCATAAAATTTGGCCGGATTAGACAGAATCCGGAGTGCAGGAAAAATGCAGGAAAATATAAATTTCGAAAATTTTCGTTGTTTATTTACAAGTACATCATATTCATATTATAAATAAAATTAAATGATGAAATCAATTACTATTCTGGAGTCTAGAAATTATAAAATAGTCTCACATGACTTACTGTATTTTCTTATTTGTTCACGAAGTTTGAAAGTCGGGTGAAATGTTACCTCAATTAAAATATACAGGCACGCATAATATAGGCCTACTATGTATCAAGCGGACCGGGTTTCGCTTGTCAAAGACTTCATTCAATGTATTAACAGTAATGCACAATTATTTACGATGTGCTAATTATTAGATTGAACTTTTAATTTTATGTAAAAAATTGCGTCTTCCCCCACACACAGGGTGAATGCTAGTTCAGATCATTTACAGGGAGGTCGCTTTTCGGAACACCTCTTTTTTTTCATTTTTCGTTCGGGCTCGTGGTACAATACTCAATGAATGTATCGCAGTACGGTTGTATCGAGTTAAACAAACGTTTTATAATTAAATATCATGATTTGTGGACATAGGTCCACAATCAGAACGAAAAATTAAGGTCGATGTCTTTATATACATAAAATAGAACAAATTATTTTTTTGTGTGCAGTATAATACTCAAACATCAATGTTCATGTTCATTGCATAACGAAAGAGTTCACCAAATAAACGAGGATTTCAGGTTTCTGCATGATTGTAAATTATATCACACCCACCCCTTATAACTATTATATAGGCCAATAAATATGGTGAATACAAATAGAATATTAATAAAAGAAGAAGGAAAGATGTTTTTTTTTTTGGGGGGGGGGGGTCGTTAATATGAATCAAATACATGACATAAAAAAGGTAAAAGGAATGTTGGTTAATTACTTTTTTTTCTTTTTAATTGATACTCTATGGAATTTTTATTTAATGTATTCGGCGAATAATGCTGGTCTCAACTTAATTATATATATAAGTTCACTTTGTTGTAGGTACAACGACAGCAAAGAAAAATATTAGGGACTGGATTTAGTCAGATAATATAAAATTAATATTTAAGGAATGAAGCTAATATCAACTTATGTTATCCGATATAACATAACTTGGGTCAGTTTACGCTTTATAAACCGCGAAGCGGTTTATAAAAAAGCGTAAACTGCCCCAAGTTTTGTTATATCGGATAACATAAGTTGGAATTAGCTTCATTCCTTATAATTTAATTCCAGTGTAGACAATGAGACAATATTTCCACAGGAAAAAGACTTCAAACTGAGCATTATTTTAAAAGTAACGTCAAGCGGAGTAATACGTTTTTGACGTAACTCATTGTGACGTAGGCAAGTTATGTTATCCAAAATATTATATGTTCCTCTGAATGATTCAGCCAATGAAACTGCTTGATACAAGTGAAATTAAATTATATAATTATAATATATTTATCATATTATAATCAATAACCACGTGGGTTGTCCCGTAAAATCGTGGACAAGTTGTCTAGTGTGAAAAATAAACATCACTGCGTTCTGAAATTTTCACGATTATTTAGTACATATTTTAGTAATATACACAGCAAATTTCAGATAAATGCATAAATAAACAAATTATGAGATTTTATGCCATGTATTGTATCACCATGGATTATTACGTCAAAGTGTCTAAAACAGCGTCACGTTTTATCTTTGCTGAAAATGAATTTGGATGAGTCCAACTTAAATTTAGGAATTTCATTGATACACATTCTTTAGTCTCCAAAAAACAGTCGAAGAATCAATTGGCACCCTCATGCGATCTTCTGAAGATTTATTAGTAAGTTACGGACAATATTCTCACCATCATTCAACTAATAGAAAATCTCATATCGGCGGTCTACTGTGACACATACGAGTAGTGACAGCCTTTTTTGCTATTACATTAAGAGTTTGTCCGTATGTTTTGTACTCCCCAGGGACTCGATCAAAAAAACTTCACTAAGAAAACTCCCATTTCATTTGTATACTTAAGATATGGTAATATTTTTATAATATTTTTTCTTCTATTGTAATTTCAAGTCTTGAAAGAAGTCATTAAAACATCGAAATAAAACTGAACTGTTCTCCGGTGCGTCGTAACGTCATAAAACGTCGCAATTTTTCGTGTGTTGTGTTAACCACTTTCCCATTTCGAATGCTCGAAAAATGCCAAAAATTAACTAAATGCCTTAAAATATTTACAAAGACTACAAAATTGATTGTGGAATTGAATTAGGATAATTTTAATCCATATCTTATGTTTTTAAAACTTTTATTTTGAATTCAAACTTGTGTATTCTTTAATAAAACCTTGGTATTTTGACCATGCGCCGTAGGACAATACCCCGTGCACATTCAAGCATAATAAAATCTTTATTTTTGCCTACATCTTATCAAAAATATTATCATGCACTTAAATATGATAAATAAACATTTACTGAAATTTTCAGCTTAGTGCGCCCATTACTTTTCGAAAAGAACGTTTTGTCCACGATTTTACGGGACAACCCTCGTAAATCCACAAAAACAATACCATTCTTCATTTCTTTATTTCAATTTTTGAGTGTTTTGTGCCGTTGGCAACTAAACATAATATCAAATTGCAAAAAAAAAAAATAAATAAAAACAGAACAATTAAGGATGGAAATACTATATTGCAACGACATGTTGTCATACATGTAACATTGTCATAGACCTACATCAATATCATATATCAATTCAGATCAGGTACAGGTAGGTTAATACACAAATAGACATTGTCATAGACCTACATCAAGTACTCAGTTATTTCAGATCAGGTACAGGTAGGTAAACACTCATACAGACATTGTCATAGACCTACATCAAAAACTCAGTTATTTCAGATCAGGTACAGGGAGGTAAACACTCATACAGACATTGTCATAGACCTACATCAAATACTCAGTTATTTCAGATCAGGTACAGGTAGGTAAACACACATACAGACATTGTCATAGACTTACATCCAAAACTCAGTTATTTCAGATCAGGTACAGGTAGGTAAACTCACATACAGACATTGTCATAAAC